CGGATCCCACATATGAGGGCCAGTGACACTGCCCTCCACAGCTAAGATGCTGAACAACAGCTCAACCTGGAGCTGGGCTGCCATGAGTTGCTGGCGACAGTGTAGGCTGCAGCCCCTGTGGCAGTGGGTTGCCATGGGCTACCGTGTGTAGCCAGCAGCCAGCGTGAGCGGCCAGCAGCCGCAGTGAGCGGCCGTCCAGAAGCCGGCGACTGATCTGCCTCACCCGGGAAGAGCGCAATGATGGTGCCAACTTGGGCCAGTGAAGCAATGTCCTCCACAACTAGACTGAAGAACAAAACGACAGCAACTTGTCTGTTCCCCTTCCCCAATTCCCCAGCACTGTTCCCATCCCCCCAATTCCCCAATTAAAAAAAAAAAAAGAAGAGCCTGAAGCGGACATGGGGTCCAGAGAATTTAAGAAACTTAACCAATGTTAGGAGATGGTTTTTTTAAAGGTAAAAGCATGCACTATCGAAGATAAACAGAGCAACACCCTAGTTGAAGTGGTAAGGACAGATTTTAATCAGTAATCTACTATTGCAATAGGCAAGAGTCCAGCAGGAGAGGGTGAGCAGGGCTTCAGGGGAGTGATAAATTACAAGAAGCAGGAAGCTGGGGTTGATCTGTGTGAAACCATCTGGGTTTCTTAGGCTCCTACCCTCTCAGAGACTGGGAGCCAGGGACCCCACATTTGGCTGGAACAAACAGTAAATTCTTTCAGCAGCCTTGAGTTTCCTCAGGTATGCACTTTAAGGGGGCTAGGGTCATCCTAGGGATGTAACCCTAAACTGCTAGAAATTATGTTAGTGTTTTGTTCAAGTCTCTCTAGGACAAGTTTGAGGCCAAGTGGAGAAAGGACTCCTCGTAGGAGCCTGGCTACGGTTTGGTCAAGGAGAGAATCTTTGTCAACTCTCAACTTCATATGAAACAATGTGTGTCAAATACTTATTAATTGAGCCGGTAAATTGTCACAATCAGTTCAAAGGAGAACTCAAACTGCTGCACCTTCACAGTCACATAAGGAATGAGGAAATGATTTTACAAATAGAGGCAAAGCTGGACAAGTTAGTAGATAAGCCAAGCTGTTGCATTCCACAGAGGCAATCTGCGTTTTAATGAAAGGAATTATTTACATTACTATCAAATTCCTATAAGTCAACTCTTATCTCTACAGACTTGTGACATAGCCCAATCAGAAGCTTGAAAGATGCCCATGTCTATAAAAGCAAATAATGCCATTGCAAAGATATCCGGTGATCTCTTGTGCCCATTTCAAAATCTCCCAGTTTTTCTCTACACCAAGGTCAAACAGCAGGAAAAGTGAGTCCAGAAAAATAAAAAAGATGAAGAGCAGCAATAATCAGGGATACATCTACACACAGTTAAGATGGCCGGGTTAAGTGGGTAGTTAGGTCCCCAGACTCTGAAAACTGATTGCCTGCCCGAGCTCTCTCGCATCCCAGCTTTGCCACAAGTGGTGTGCTATCTTGGGCAATTTTACTTAACTGCCCTGTGCCTCAATTTCCTCATCTATCACATGGGCATAACAACAAGTACCTACTGCATAACTGAGTTAATAATCGGTAAAAGCTCAGTAAAATAATAGCTATTCTTGTTGTGCTTCTTTGGAGCTTGTGGCCATGAAAATATGCCTATCTTGACTCTGAAAGGTAATGCCTGACTAGCCCCAGAATTCTGTCTTAATGATCACAAAGTCTGCAATAAGATGAACTTTCAGTCTTTCTACCCAGGTTCCATTGCTTCTACCAGGCGAACAAGTTCCTTTTTGCCAAATGTAAGATTCACGTGTAGAAAACATTTACCAGCATTGCTTCCTTTTCCTCAAGAGATGACCTTAGCATCAAGTATGAGATTGTCTTTGTTTATCAGAAGGGTTTGGCAGAAGTCAAGGTGGTTAAAATCACCTGTCACAATTATATCCTGCCTCTGGGCCAGTGTGATCACTCTACCAAAAATATCATCCCTCTTGCTTCTAGCTGGGCCACCACCATCACTTCATTTCCTTCCATTATTTTGTCTTCACCCAAACACTCTAACCACAAGTTACAGAGATTACCACTGAGGTTGCCAGAGGCTGGAGCATGGGAAAAGCAGGGAGGGCCAAGTACAAAGGGTCTAAACGTTCCATTATATGATAAACAAGGTCTGAGAATCTGATGTGTAGCCTGGTGACTATACTTTATAATACTGTACTGTATAATCAAAATTTGCTAAGAAAGTAGAACCTAAGTGTTCTCACCAAAAAAAAAAAAAAAAAAAGTGAATATGTGAGGTGATGGATATTTTAATTAACTCATTGGTGGAAATCTTTTCATAATGTATATGTATATCATGTTGTACATTTTAAATATATGACAATTTTATTTGTCAATTATACCTTAATAAAGCTGGGAGTAGGGAAGAACTATTGGGTCGTCCTGAAAGTCATGACACATTTTTCTATGTTTTTCAATGCAAAAATGCGTCATGACTTTCCCGACAACCCAATATAAATTTGTAGAGAAGTGATAAGACAAAGGAAAAAGGGCTTTAGGCTTTAGGGGTGACAAACTGTGAGAAGGTAAATATATGGGGGGAAACTGACAGAAGGCGAGGGTTGTTGTAGTAAGGTCTGTTGTGTGGGTTCCTCTGGTGCCAGCTCCAGGCTACTGTTAGAGTCTAGAGTAGTCTTCAGTGATTAAGAATTCTCCTTCCCTTCCTGGTAGAAACAGAAGGCATAGTTTTTCTTATGTATGCTGCTTCTTAATTGCCTTCAGCCCCAAATATTTTAAACTATTTAAAACATATCCATACCCAATAGTTCAATTCCTGGGAATAATTCCTCAGGAAACAATATGAAATATGGGCAAAGATGACAAAATTATACTCTGCAACATTATGTATAATAGTGAGCACTCGAAAACAAACAAAATATTTAAAAAGAGGTGCCTGGTGGAATAACTGTAGTGCTTTCTTTCACCGGACTTATGCAGCCATTAAAAATTGCATTTACAAAATAGGTTTGTTGGTATGCAGACCTATTTATGATGGATGTTAAATGGAAAAAGCAAGTCACAAAACTGTAACAACACTTTGACTATGTAAAACTATGTTCATCACATGTATTGAGGAATCCATCTGGTTGAAAGAAACACTCAAATCAGCTTAAGCAAAGAAAAAAAAAAAAAAAGCAAGGGCGCGAGGAGTCTCCTGGATCCCAGGTGGCAAGTAGAGAGATCTCAGGAACCAGTACGCTCTCCTGCCTCCAGGACTCCCTGTTCTCCAATTCTAGTTCCTTTATCACGTTCTCTGCCCATCAGCTTTTTCTCCTCTGCTGCACGGGACCCAGGCATCATCTTCCAGTGGAAACACCCAGCTACATTCTCTATAACACAATCCAAATTTCTAGCATATAGAATGGAATTGGCCCGGCTTGGGTAGGCAAGTCCACTTCTTGCCCAATTGGATATGAGTAGGTTCATTTTGGCTGCAGGGTGCATCCTGGTAGCTGCATTACTAAGGCAGAGTGAAGGGAAAAGGCAGTGGGGCAGGCAGACACCTGAGAGGCAGCTCGCTGTTATTGTCCTAGAAAGGAGGAAATGCACCAAATTTTTAATAATATTTGTCACTGAATGACTGGATCATGGTGGTCTTTATTTTATGTATGCTATTTTATATTTTACAAGTTTTCTGTAACGCTCTGTTATCGTTTTAGCATCGGGAGGAAAGTGGGTTTAGTTTGGTTTTTTAATATATAACATGTATTGGGTCTCGTCTCTATTATGTGCCAGTTTGTTGGGTGTGGGAGGTGTGAAGTTTAATGATTAGTGGACATTCTCTGTCCTCAATAAACCCGCCTAGTGCCAATTGCCCCTTCCTGTGTTCATGCTTACCTTGACAAGACCTAGTGGATTCTAAATGGTTTCTGCAAACAGTGCCACAAAGTAATAAAACTCTGAACTCCAATAACAACTGTAGTCCTCATTACGTGATTTAGTTATTTATTATATGCATTTGTTGATTTTTGAATTGTTTCAAATGAATATCTCATTTTTCAAAAAAAGGCTTCTTTTAAAAAAACAAGGAAAACCATTCTTAGTATTTCTTCAACACTCTTTAATTGACTAAACTGGTGCATGTTATGTGCAATAAATATTAGCTTGCTGATTGAAATTCACTTGAGTCACCAAAGAATTAACTTTCCCACAACTCCTCTCTGTTTGAATCTCATGGATCTGTTTGCCTAATGTTTAAATAGCCAATTCTTTGCTCAGTTTTATGAAATTAGCCTAAATTCCTCTTTCACCATTCATACTTCCTTTATCTTCACATTTCAACCAGCCAGCACTCATGGTTTCATGATCGTAAACATGGCCATAAATGTCTATTTCAGTTAAGAATTTATCTGGATAGAGTGTAAAATCATACTTAAGTGTTTCTTGTTCCATACACACAAGGGAACCCTATCCCTAAAATTCTGACATATGGTCTGTAAATGAGTTTTTGTGACTTTTCCCCAGGCTTAGAGTTAGATTAAGTTGTTACAGCTTTTCCAGTGGTTCCATTTAAATACAATCTTTGAATCTCATAGGAAAGGTAACATTGATGTAGTGTGAAGCCAGAAAGACCAGGGCTTGGATCTCAGCTCAACTGATAGGGACCCTAGCAAGATGCTTTATCTCCCTGAGCCTCAGTTTTCTCATCTGTAAAATGGGAACCATAACACCTACCTCTCAATGTTGTTAAAATTAAATATGCCTACAATACCAGTCACATGTTAGGTGGTCAGTAAATATTTGATGAACTGATGAAATGCAAAAAAAGTAAAAAAATATTGGAAACAATCACATAAGTGTCCCAAAGGACAGTGAGAATCCTTAATAAAAGATGCAGAACTCGTTTTAGAGTCAAATTGCAGGGCAAAGGTCAGCCCCTCCTTCAGTTAAAAAGCTGGGGGCAGGGCTTAACAAGGAAGTAGCAACCCTTCCCTAAGCCTCACTTCAGCCTTAGTCCTGAACCTGAAAAGGCTACACTCGGATGGAGTCTTAGATCACAGGAACTTTCCTAACTGAGAAGCCTAGAAGACTTGGTGAAATTTTCCTCTTAAATTTCGTGGAGACTCAGGTATAAAAATAACCTTACTGCCACCTACCTGAAGCAGGAGAAGTCACTGACAGCTTCGAGACCAGGTAACACCAGGAGGCACCAGTCTTATTCTCAGCCTCCCCAGGAGCGCCCAGCTGGGTCTACAGACCCAGTTTTACTAACAAGACAGCCTAACCAGGGGAGGTGTTTCCTGACTTTATTAAGAAGTCCTTCTCATGTAAGTCTCAGAAAGCAAAATAACAGTTAAGAATGTAGTTTATTGGGGTTTCAAGGAATCGAAAATACATTTGGGTTTCTCTTTCATTTCTTCTTTGCTACAGAAGATTGGGGGTAGTTCACTTAAGATCATGTAACTGGCTGAGTCATTTTTAACATAATGCAGTTCTCTTGTCATTGAATGTATGACAAGATATATGACAGCTGGTGAATGGCCCATGGAGATGCTGACTCCCTCCCCTACAGCAGAGATGGGGCTGAGGGCAGGAACCCTGGGTTTGAGCCCAGTCCTGAGCACCCTGTGGGAACTTGGGCACCGGGTCTAGTCCTGGCAGACCCCTAGACACTTCTTTGAATACCAGGCCCAGGTGACATGGGAAACCCCCTCCATCCCCCCAGGAAAGCTCCGTTCTCTCTTCATGCCCTGTCCCCTGTCCTCTTAGCAGAGCCTTAGTCCTTTTGTTTGATTAATATGCTAAGTCTCTATTTCTCAGTTTAGCTTCTACTGTAGGATGTTAAGACATTTTTTGGCATTCCTCAAGTTTGGAGAAGGAAGGAAAAGGGCAGACTGCCTCTGAAGGGCTTAAGGGGGCGCAGGGTGCTCAAGAGGAGGCTCCAGGCGACCGGATTGAATTTAACTCGTAATTTGGTCTGGGGACCGCCCTCAGTGATGAGTGTTTACACTGTTGAGTTACCCCTGGGCCTCCTCTGTGTATCCCGAGCAATGGAAGACAGCTCTTTTCCTGAGCCTGTTGCCCAGCGGTCTCCAGGCCTCTCCCCCGTGGTTAGGGCCCACACAAAGTGAACCGAGTGTAAATTCTGTCCCGCTTACTCCGAGCATTAGTGGCAGCCTCTGCATGGAGCCACGGAGTATGCACTGGTGCTGTTTCCTCTCTTCATGCATCCATCACCTGCCACAGGAAGGGAAGTGAAATCTAACCTCAACAGACAAATCCAGAGCTAGAAAAAATCCCAAAAGTGTGTCCGGCAATAACAAAGGTTTAGGTGCCTCCCCAGCTGAATGCACAGTACCCATGCAGCAGCCCCTTCTCTGCCAGTCACCTACAGCACAAGCAACCAGGAGACCCCGAGGACTTCAGCCACTTACAGGGTTGAGGGGAAAGGAACTCTCTGGGAAGGAAAAGAGACCAACCAAAGAAGCTCTGTAACCTTGCTTTTCAGAGTACATTGGTGTATTGTAGTTTGCTATAGATAAGGAGACACTATGTAAATATAAGGTGATAAGAATAAGTTTGTGACCCCTGACTCACTGAATTAAAATAAGCCTCACAGGTCTTCTTGGAGAGCTAGTTCTCCCTTCCAGGCTCTCACCCAGGGCTTCATTTCTCTCAACATAAGCTTAAAATTTATGGTGTAAGTTTCCAAAACCCAGAAGTCGGGCTTTTACTTTCAATAGCTGAGAGCAGAAGCCTTCCAACATGTGCTACACTAACTCACTGCTGCTTTACAGTAAGACTTAGCTATACATTTAACAAAAGCTCCCCCTTAATTTGCAATGAGGATTAGTAGGGGGAGAAAATGTACACTTGTTAAATGTATTTAAAGGGTCTTAACTAAGACTTTTATCTCAACATGCATTCTCTTTCAGCCAAGTGTCTTCCAGGCCCTGGTCACAGCACACACCCTTCCTCCCCCCCCCCCTTTGGTAGGGTCGCCTCATTCTTGGCGCCATTGCCTGAGCACAGCTATGCTTTCTGCTTCTCTCTCATCCTTGGCCTTGCCTGTTGCTTGGGCCAAGAACTCCTTTCCTTTCCAGCCTGTAACACAAAATGGAAAAACTGTGGACTCCATCTTGACGTCAGTGGTTTTCCCCCTTTTCTGATGCTACTCTTGAATCAGAATTTAACAAACTTGTTTCTTAAAGAAGTCCAACACTTCCTCTCTTCAACAATGCCCCCCCCCCAACACACACACACACACACACACACACACACAATTTTGAAGTCCTCACACTACATTAGAAGGTTTTCTTTTCTTTCTTTTTTTTACTTACATGGAGGTGTCTTCGAAAGCATAGTATTATGGCTTGAAGAGCAGCTTACCCTTCTTCCCAAGTACATAGCTACTATAGCTCCGGCATGTACTTCCTGCCACAGCATCCTGAGTTGCCCAATTGAAACGGAAGCTTCGATTTAAAAACCTCCTAAGTCCTCTCCTGACACACTCCAGCTCTGGGCTCAGCCCCGTCCTGTACCAAGCTGCTGCCCAGAGTTCGGACCACACATCCCACTCTTGCCTCATCATTTCTGGCTCATTCTCTTGCTTGTCTCAGGTTGCTCAGTCTTGACCCTTGGTTCACTTGACTCTCTTACACCTAACTCAGGTCTTAATATTTCTAAGCGACATCTTTCACTCAGGGGGTTGCCAGATTTGCATAAAAATACAAGATGCCCAGTTAAGTTTGCATTTTAGATACGCAACAAATAAATTTTAAAAATACAGATGGTCCCCAACTTAATGATGGTTCAGCTTACAATTTTTCGACTTTACGATGGTGTGAAAGTAATACACACATTAAATTACATGAGCTAGTCAAACACTTTACTATAAAACAGGCTTTGTCTTCTGTGATTTTTCCCAACTATAGGCTAGTGTAAGTGTTCTGAGCACATTTAAGGTAGGCTAGGCTAAGCTATGTTTGATAGGTTAGTGTGTATAAATGCATTTTTGACTTATATTTTCAACTTATGATGGGTTGATCTGGACGTAACACCACTGTAAGTCAAGGAGCATCAGTATAAGCATGTCTCATACAATATCTGGGACATACTTACACTAAAAAATCATATGTTGTTTATCTGAAATTCAAATTTGACTGGATGTCACATATTTTATCTGTCAGCTCTATAATGATTTTTCATTCATTCATCAAATATTTATGGAGAACTTACCATGTGTCAGGCATTGTGCTAGGTGCAGGGGAAGCCAGCCACGTACCAGTCTCCATGTCTTACAGTATATATACTATACACGCACACAGACTATATATATATATGACTATAAGAAACTATAGGGAAAGAGTGTGGATTTCATACTAAACTTAATATTTGCATGTCACTAGTTTTCTTATTTGCTGCACACAAGTGCAGCAAATAACATTAACATTTACTTACCAAAAAAAGGCAACCTATTAATATAATTTTAATAATAATGCTAATCTTTCTTGAGCATTTATCATCTACCATGCACAATTCTCAGTGCTTTATATGTACTAATTCTTTTTTTTTTTTTTTTAAGATTTTTTTATTGGGGAATTGGGGGGATGGGAACAGCGCTGGGGAATTGGGGGAAGGGGAACAGACAAGTTGCTGTTGTTTTGTTCTTCAATCTAGTTGTGGAGGATGTTGCTTCACTGGCCCACGTTGGCACCATCATTGCGCTCTTCTCTGGCGAGGCAGATCAGTCGCCGGCTTCTGGACGGCCGCTCACTGCGGCGGCTGGCCGCTCACGCTGGCTGCTGGCTACATACGGTAGCCCATGGCAACCCACTGCCACAGGGAGTGCAGCCTACGCCGTCGCCGGCGACTCATGGCAGCCCAGCTCCAGGTTGAGCTGTTGTTCAGCATCTTAGCTGTGGAGGGCAGTGTCACTGGCCCTCATATGTGGGATCCGAACCGGGGCCCTCTGGCATCCCAAGCGAGTTCTTAACCATCGCGCCACTCGGCCGGCCCTGTACTAATTCTTTTTATCCACATTCCAACTGGACGAAGCAGGATTTTTTTTATCCCCATTTAACAGAGGGGAAAATGGAGGCACAAATAAATTAACAAATGTACCTAGTCACACAGCTAGTAAGCAGATGACCCAGGATTTGAACTAGGCTATCCGAATCAAGAGATCAGCATGCTTCTCTGTACAGACCAACACTTACATTATTGCTTTCTAGTTTATAAAGGATTTTCACAGTTTGTAATTTAATCCTCCTATATGGTCAGTGGGTTAGGTAATATGAATTGCATTTTATAAATAGAAAAAGTCACTGCTTTCTCGGGGCCTGGAGACAGTTCATCCTCAGACGAATGGCTTCCACACCATCCCGTGTGAGGCTCTTCCAAATAAAGGAGAGGAAAAAGCAATGGAAACGGGGAGCTTCTGGCAGGCCTGCAGGGGAGATATTTCATTTCTTACACCTCCTTCAGATAGTAGAATCAGAAAAGCTAACAGAATATCTGGTACGGAAACCGAGGACCAAAGGGATTAAGCAACTTGCCCAAGGACTTTGCAAGTTAGAAGCTGAACCAGCCCTGAGCCTCCAGCCTCTAGACACCTAGTCCAATCTATCTGAACCACATCACACTGCCTCAAGCCCTGTCTGCAGTCACCACCCCATTTCTCTCTGAGTTGGTCTTGGTGTGAGAGGGTACCCTGGAAAGAAAAGGAGGGATATGCCAGTCGATCTGATTAATATCACTACAGTTTATTTATTATCACACCAACTTACATGCCCAAAGACAGCCTTAAAATTAAGGGAAGAGAATATTATTAAGAGCCACCCCTGTAGGACAGAGTCAGAGGGACTGAGATGACAGTTGTACTAGAAAAAATTAGTAGCTACTATTTTTGAGTCAGCTCTGAATTGGGACTTCTCATGAATTGGCTTGTACCCTCACAATACCCCTACAAAATGACTATTATCATTTTCAACTAATCTGTAGGAAACTCAAGTACAGAGCAGTGAAGTAACCTGCCCAGGTCACACAACTAGTCAGTGCTATGGCCAGGATTTGAACTCAGGACCGTTAGTCCGAGGACACCAAGCTGTTTTCCAGTACATCCACTGCCTGAGAAACTCGAATCCAGTGAGAGAGAGTTGGTAGACCTGGGCTTTCTGGCATCTGGGACAAAAATGAAAATGTAGTCCTTAACATACAACAGGAAAAAAAAAGCAGAGTAGATTATTAACAAAAAGAAATGATTTCCCAGCAGGAAACCAGAAAATGAATTATTTCATGAAAGCTTAAATTGAGCAAAATCAGTTTATTATATCTATCCGGTTACTCATATGGAAATAAAGATGAAACCATTCCATCCCCATCATTTTTTTCTTGTATCGATCTTTCTAAAACATGTCTGTGATCACATCACTCTCATGCTCAAACCTGAAAAGCTTTCCATTGCCTCCATCAGTGCTCTTCAAATATGCAAAAAGTAGCAGGATTTTTTTTCCAGATGAAATCTTACATGGAATGCCTAATGTGGCAAGAAAGAGAAGCAATTCTGCACAAGCTAAAGTGAAGGGTAAAGGGAGAAGGGAGAGATGATGGGAGGGCCAGGGACCCCAGACGTTTCCCTCTCCGGAGCTCGCCTCCCCCTTTGCCCACCTACCCCTCTTCCAAGAAGAATTTAACTCCACCGTCTAGAGCTTCCTTTAAAATGTACTAACTGGCCAGCATGAGAAAATGGAAAGCTTTCAGGCTAACATTCAGGGGCCCCCATAGCCTGGCCCCAAATGCCACTTCACCTATGATCCCTCCACATGCCTGAACCATAGCTATCCATGAAGCGGATGCCTGTTCTACACCAGTTCTCTCACCCTTCTTCAAACACATCCTAAATTCACCCATAGTCTACCCTCTGCCCATCCTGTTCTTAGCCCCAATATCATCCACCCACCTAAACCCTTTCTATCTTTCAAGGGGCCTTCACTTGCCCTCTCTTTGCAGCTGCCTGTTCCTCCTCCCATCTCTTGCACTTGGCTATCTGCATCTCTGTTTCAACACCTGGCTCACCCTCTGTTTGGAGTTATCTCTGTACATGTCTCTCTTCCTCATCTCTCTAAGAATGAACTTTCCAAAAGAACCCTGATTTTTCTACCTCTTACTATCCCTTGCCTCCCAGCAAAAAAAAAGACAGAATAGTTCCACCTGTCTCTCCTGACCTACAAAGAGCAGATGGCCCAAAGGCAGAAAGATGCATGTGGACTTTGTTGTTGCAGACCCACCATGTGCACCAGCAGTGCCTGCGACTTGGAGGAGATCCCCCTGGATGATGAAGACTCAAACAGCATGGAATTCCAAATCCTGGAGTTCTACGTCAAACACCATGTCTTCAAGGACAGCTCTGCTGTCTGCTCACCAAAGCTGCTGAGAACAAGAAGTCTATCCCAGAGAGGAATGGAGAGTTTGTCAGCAAACGAGTCATGGACACAGGTGTCCTGGCCTTGCAGATATTCCCGATCCAGTGAGAAACCCATAAACCTCGCCAAGAAAAAGTCTTCTTGGAGAACACTCTTGGGAGTAGTAGAAAAGGAGGAAGCGTCACCGAGCTCGTCTACAGTGTGCCGCCAAGTTCTGGGGGAATGGAAAAGGTTGCGTGGGGGTGGTCCGCTCAACCAGCACCGCTCCAGGGCCTGTTCTAACGTGGAACAGCACTTAGAGCTCGAAGGTAGGCTTGTTTCTCTCCCACAACCAAATCTCTTCCTTTTCTGTGTGCATGGTTGTTCCTCTCCTCCCAGCTGGTAACGGGGCCTTAGGCAGGCTACTCACCATGCCTCTGTTTCCCAAGTTATTATTATTCAAGAATAATTGTGCTACTTTTCTCAAGACTGAGCAGAAAGGAAGAAGATGGCAGTGAAGGGTGACAGGACTGGTTTTCTGGGCTCTATTGTTTATAAATAAGCTTGCTGCCCAAATTCCTAAACCTCTGTGTCAGAGATCGATACAAAGGAAAGCGCTCTGGACAGGAGCTCAGGCCGCCACTCTTCCCACGGTTAAGTCAGCTCACTTCTCAGCGCCTCTGGGTTTCCATCTGCATATTGGGGTAGCCCACCCTCCCTACCTTTTAGGGTGGATGGAAAGATCAGGTGGCTACATACAAAAATACATTTCCAAATCTAACCCACTCTAAAAAGCAACAGAGACACCTTCTGACAAAATCTTCCCTCAGTAGGACAAAATACATTATATTGTGTAAAACAACTTCACGAAAGTCGCCCTTCGTCCACAAATCTTGGCATAAGCATCTTCTTCCTTTTCAACAATGCCTGTGCTTGACACCCAGATTTTAAAAGAAAAACCCCCGTCCTGCTGGGCTGATTGGACTGTGTAACTTGCCAATAATTAGTCAACAGGTGGCAGTAATGTCTCACTTTTTAAATCTTGTGGCTGTCCTGACTTCCTTGGAGACTCCGCTCATACGTGGACAGTTTTAGATCATTCACTCTGATCAAGGAAACTTCCATTTCCCACTAGACATAGAATTTTAGAACAAGATCGGTGAGAGTCGGATTATCTGGGGAACGCCTCCCCTCCCTAGTGGTACAGCTCCTGCCCAGGGCCATCTCTGAGCTCTGGAGCAAACAGAACAGTCTCAAGGCACCTAAATAGCCTGGTTTTTGGACTTTTTCAGGAGACAGAGAAAGATTTTACAGACGTCACTCTTCTGGCTTTTGTGAGAGAAATGCCATTGTGTATTTCCATACCACTGAAGTGTCATTTGACCTTTTTTATTTCCTAAAATTTCAAGATCTCTATATAGATTTACCGATATCCCTACAAAGGTAGGAATGATGACCTCCTGAGGAGGCTTGGCTTTGAACATTTATGGACAATTATCCTCTCTTCTCTCCTTGCTCTTTCCTTTCTTGTTTTGTTAATTATGTGGGTGGTTAGTTGGTTTTATGTTGGGTGTGACCCAAGACAGCCTCGCATTCTATTTCCATTTTGCCATATATAAATCAGAGCTCAGCAGTTGGCTTTACCTGGGTTCTTTTAACTAAAATCACAGAGTAGCCTGGGTTTCCATTCCCAGAGCTCAGACACCAGGCTTAAGTGAGAACTATGAGGTGATGTTCCAAGATCAAAGTCTAGCAGCGAGGGGCCTTATGATGTAGAAAAATGGATGTCAGTACCAATTTTAGGAACTATCAACCCGGGTCCTTGCACTTGTGAATCTTTTATTTCTCCACAGCAATGATTCACTACATGTGGAATGTTACAGTTAGGATTAGGCTCGGCAACCTATAGTGGAAGATTCAAATAACTATGACTTAAATAATATAGAGGTTACTTTTCTCTCCTGTTAAAAGAGGATCAGAGTTTGGCAGCCCAGGCCTGGTTATGGTAGCTTCATAGCAATTAGGGATTTTTATTTTACCATCCCTCAGCTAGTGGTTTCCAACCTCAAAATCACCTTATTATATTCCAAAGTGGCCGCTGGGACTCCAGTCATCATGTCTACATTTCAAGCAGGAAGAAAGAGGAAGCAAAGGAAGAACAAAAGGGTGTCTTCTTTCTGGATAACTCAGCAACCTTTTGGAGAGCTTTCTTAAAGCTGTACCCAGCCTCCTAGATCTCACTGGCCACTCCACACTGCAAGGGAGACTGGGAAATGTAGTTTTTTCACCTGGGTGCATTGGTGCCTCTGACATTTCAGGGATCTGTTACAAAGAAAGAAAAACATAAATAATGGGTGGGAAATAGAAGTCTTGACCATATGAAAATCTCTCCCAAACTCTCTGCCCCTTCTCTTTAAAATAAATACCTCAGGCCAAAGGTCAAATGGCAACTTCCTTACCCTAATCTCCTGCTCTCTTTGGCCCCACAGTGACATACCACCACCAAAATAGACTCCAAAGGATGGACAGCCTTTCTGTTCTCTCTCCACCCCCATCCAATTTCCCATTGCCTGTCAGATGGAACCTACTCTGCCAGGAAGCAAATCTTTTCTTTTTCCAGTGTTTAGAATTACGGTACTCAAAATGGGAATCTTAACTAAAACTAGTTCATCTGAGTCAAAATGTATTTGCTTATAGTTTTTCCTCCATGTATTTCATCTGCATCCCTCACTCCAGGCCCACAAACTGATAGAAATCAATAAACTGAACACAGGTAAGTCAGATTGGGTACTTCTGTACCTGCTGGGGGTTTTGTGATTGCCCTGCCATATGTGGGGAGGACCTGGGAGGTGAGGAGTGACAGCCTTGGGGGGGCTTTAGCTGCCTTCTTTGGGTGCAACATGGGCACCATGTAACTCTGATGGGAGAGCCATGTACGAATCACCCTAGACAGGACGCACAAGGTTACAGAGGTAGCAAATGTAAGCTTTCCTTTCCCATCTCCTGTGGACACTGCAAAGAAAGATTCCCATTGGCTTTGGGATCCAGCCTTTTGCCATTCCTTACCAGGGGCCATGGGTAGCCAGAATTCAAGAGGAGGCTGGTTGGGCTGCAATAAGGCGAGTTAAAAGTGGAAAGTATTTGGTTTGGTTGTTAAAATGGGAAGAAAAAGCACTGATCCCTCTGCCCTTGACCTCTTTAATTTGCTCATCTGTTTTTGAACCCTTTGGATGGAGCATTAGAAATATGGCATTTTAAGGAAGCCATTCCTTTTTTTAAAGGAAGGCATTAAGATCAGAGCATTAGTCTCTGCGGCCTTTCAGAGAATGCCTTGGGGTTGAAGGGAGAGCAGCAAAGCTCTCATGCTATGGAGGAATCCAGGGAGAAAGGATCAGAAATCACCTTGGCAGCTCCATAAGATGACAAAACCTGCTTTTTATGTGACATAATCTCTCCAGAGATTCAAGCCTTGCCTCTTACCTATCCTGGTTGATAACACCCACAGATTCCCGGGGGCACACCAACCTTCCGGCCCAAACCCTACTCTGTTACTTTCTCCAAGTCTATGAATTAAATAGTATTGTTTTACAAATATTACATGATGTGGCTACTTCATATTGCATCAAAGACAGCTTGTACAAGTTTCTAAAAGTTAAGAACTTCACACTGAATCCACAGTGAAGATTTTACTCCCGAACAAGTCAGCAATACCTCCTTCCGGCACCATCGACCCCATCCCCCACCAGGGGCAAAGCTGACTTGTCTTTCACAGGCTATGACATTCAGGGGGCCAATGTCATTTAAACCTTCATGTCCTAAAATGCTTTATTCTATAGTTATGTGTGCAAATACATGGCGCGCCTTTTCCTGGATTATTAATTCTTGAAGGTCATGGGTTGCACTTTATGTATCCTTGGTTCCTATCAGCCTTGATTGGATGTTTCCCAGTAGACCTGGAGTAGAGGAGGCACGTGACTATATAAGCAAGGGGAGTTTAGTGTGTACTTGATAATGGACTTGAGTAATGAATATGTCCCAAGAGCAGGGATATTTCTCTTTCCTCAGTGACCAACCCCCAAAAGCTTGTCAAACTATTGAATGCATTCCTATGCACGTAAGGGCAGGCTCTCCACAATATAAAGGATATCCAAAAAAAGAAAGAAAGAAGGAATAAAAATAAAAGCATAATGAGAATTCCCTCAAGCAAAGAATTGAGCACTCCCTTTTGTGTGCCTTCCCTCCCTAAGGGGGAAGGGGACCCTAATTTTGCAAGACTTTGAAAAGAGGGTGCAGAGAGGCAATTGTTTCAAGGTGGCAATCAGCTGTCTGTGGATTCCTCCCCCACCGCAGCCCCTGCCAGTGCTTTCTGAAGAATGAGCCGCCCCCGCACACACACTCCCAGGCAGTTGCCTCTCCCTTGAGGCTGGTCTTTTCATTTCGGGCAACTGGGCATATCCGTGAACGAGACCAAGTTCTTCTGGGAAGGGCCTCTTAGCACCATTTTGTTTCGTTTCAGCTGTGGACCCCAAGGTTGTTTCCATTGCCAACCGAGTTGCTGAAATTGTTTATTCCTGGCCACCACCAGAAGAGCACACCCAGGGAAGAAGCTTCCTGCTCCAAGGCAATATTGTACGACAGGGTCTTCAGGTGCAGGACCAGGGCCCCCAGTCTGGAACCACAAGTGCTAAAAAAGGTAAACTTACTTCTAAGTGTTTGTGTTGGGCTGTTTTCCAGGCAGAGGTATATAAGTATTTATGTAATTATTCAGCTCAGTGCTCTGCAACTTAGAATCTCTGCTGACCTGGACCAAGGGCATGACAACAACATGCTGGAGGCCCTGACCTCCAGCTTGAGAGACCGGCCCAAGCCAAGGGGAGTGTGCCAGCAGATTGAAGCCACCTGCCAAGCTCACTGCTAAGTCCAAAGAAAAGTCTACTGAGGGAGAGGAGGAAGTACAAAATGTGCAATCAACTTGGTCCACAGGGGGAAATGCAGTATTAGAGTTAATCATGTTAGCAATGGCCAGGGACCAGTTTGCTCATGGGAGGTCGTAGGGTGTAGATGGCGCACCAGCCCAGAAATTTATAATATTGCCCTAGACTCCTGTGAAAAAGCAGCG